CCACCACCGCCTCACCCCCCCACTTCGCACCGCCCAGCCCAGCCCCGGGACCTGGGGCGGGGGTGGGGGGGGCAGCTGAGGGCGCAGTAGCCCAGTGTGTAAAGTGAAAGCTCAGGTTCAGTGCGCTCTCCCTTGTCTTGCTTTCAATCAAAAAACAATCAGGAGGGCACTCACTCCTGGAAATCCTTATCTTCATAAAATTTAACTAATGGCTCCTGTTCAGGTAAATAAGGTTGCCATGTAACTCACAGAGGAAACTGTCAGCCAGTCACCTCCTGCCCGCAGCCTTCTCAAAGAATACAAATTGGAGGAACCCCGTGGAGCTGGGCTGTGGCCGTTTATCTACATGGACTCTGTCCCAACAGCTCTGGAAAGTTGAGCCTTCAGTATAGTTTTCAGGGTGATTTTTTGTGTGTTTTGTTGTTGTTGTTTTTTGAATGGCAGTCTTTTTTCTGTATGGAGTGGAAATGGTGAGGGGGGAGGATTTGTTTTAATGTATACTCTTGTTTAATGTGTTTATCCCCAAATAAGTGCGCTGTAGTAGACTTTGGCCCTGCACAAAGTAAATATTTGGCTGACAGATTCCACAGAGAAACTCAGCCTGGGGTGTTTGGGTTTCAGGAAAGAGGATCACCCTGGGGCGAAGGACTGGCGTGCACTCCACATGGGATCAGCAGGAGTGGACTCCCCACTCAGTGTCCCTGGCCCTCCTCCCACCGCTCCTTCCCAGCGAGATCACCTGCCATGCCCACCATCCTTTTATTCTGACCCCCAGGCTTTTCCCCATGGCTCTGTCTGTGTGCCCTTCCCTCCACCCTCCCTGCCCTGCCCTCTCAGAGAACCTTGACCTCAGGACTCTCTCCCAGGTCGCCTCACCTCGGTGCTGGGCCTTCCACACCATCCCCTTAACACTGCCTTCTAACCTGCTTGTCCACCTCATTGCTGAGCGCCCCGGGGGGGACAGGGACTGTGTTCACCGCCCCCCTGCATCCCCGAGGACGGCATCCTTTTCAGGAAGGCAGGAGGTGTTGGTCTCCCTGTTCTGCATTTAGGAAAGAGAGGCACTGGCTTGATAGTGGACAAGAGCACCACCCAGGGATGTGGGGAGCAGGCTCTGTCAGTTGTTCCATCTGATCTTAATGAAGCCACTTGACCTCTCAGAGCCTCAGTTCCCTCATCTGTCCAGTGGAAACAATGCATTTTTGAGGGTCAGATGTACTACTGTGCAATTTGTGAAGTGTTTTAAGACTGACACCTCTGCCCCTCAGCTGGAGAACAGAGCCAGAGGTGCCGGAAGCCGTCCTGTCCCTTGAAGCCAGCCCCTCGGTTTTCACACTCAGCACCCTTCAGCGATTACTTTAAAAATAAAGCGTTTCTGTCCTCAGGCTCCTGTTCCTTTCCGGCAATTGTCTAATAAAGCCTCTTCGTTAGCCCCAGGAAGACAAAGGGTTGGCCACCTTTAGAAATCTGGCCGGCCGCCTGGCTTCCTAAGGTTACCCATCGTGAGCCCGCCTGCCGGGCCAGCCCCAGTCTCCTGGGTTCTCCCTGTCAGGCCGTGTCCACAGCAGCCAGCACTGCTTCCAAACCAGAAGCTGCCTTATTCTTCCTTCCAGAGTCTTTAAATATTAGGTTAAAATCCTCAAGGTTCCTTCTACGTTCTCTCTTCTGTTAAAAATTAAAATGACTTATGACAGAGACGACTTTTGAAACTTGGTGAGACTTTTCAGACGCTCCTGTCTAGCAGGATGTGTGTTTGGGATGGATGGTACAATGAAATCTCTAGACCCTGCCCCGAAACATGTGGGTGCAGCCCTTCCTCATCATGTCACCCGGGGCCCAAATGTGGAGACAGGCCCAGCGGTGCCGTGCCATTAAACACCGGAATGTATATTTAAAGACATTTTAGATCACTGACATCAGCAGGCTTTTCTGTCAAGTCTCTTGAAGGAGAGCGTCTCCTGCTCTCATGAAGCTGATGAGTTTTTCTTCTGAAAGACAGAGTGACCGTGCAATGACCGGTACCCCTCTGGCGCAGGGAGCATCTAGTCCAGTTATCCATGTAGGAAGTGTTTTCACTCCTGTTCAGTCCTGCTTCCTGCCCCTCCGTTCGTCATCTCCCCCTGGGTAAATCTGGGTGAGGCACTGCCTTGATGAGTACTTGACTGGTCCAGTTTTTATTTTCTCTGTTGGGTT